ATTTTAAGTTTTAAGAATAGAGTTTTAGGGCTCAGGATGTTACTCAGAGGCACTGTGCCTCCATAGCAAGTGCAAGGTGCTGAGTTTGACCCCCTGTACAGGAAAAAAAAAAAATGAAGAACAGAGTTTTAAATAACCCCCCCCTTTTTTTTTTTTTGGCTTTTTGAGACAGGGTCTCACTATGTAGTTGAGACTGACCTGGAACTCACTATGTAGCCCAGGCTAGTCTAGAACTCCCAGCAATCCTCCTGCCTCAGCCTCACAAGTGCTGGGATTACAGGCGTGCGCCACTACGCCCGGCTAAATAACTCACATTTCTAGCACTATGGTGTATTGAATACCCTGACTCTCCCACTAAAAATAATTTTAAAATGTTTGAAAGCTGGGTGTGGTGGCACACACCTGTAATCCCAGCACTCAGGAGGCTGAGGCAGGAGGATCGCTGTGAATTCACAACCAGCCTGGGCTACATAGTGAGTTCCAGGTCAGTCTCAACTACATAGTGAGACCCTGTCTCAAAAATAAAAAAGTTTGATAGAAAAAAACTAAAATACCTTTTTAGTATATGAGAGGCTAGTAAGAAATTAAGACTTCTTAAAAGCCAAAACCTAAATAAAAGTAGAACCCACAAAGATAAGCATTAAAGTCAGTTTCCATTTAGAGATCTTAACCAAACCAGGCAATTTTTAGCTTTGTTTGTGTTTGTTTGTTTTTGACACTTATTGAACTGCCCACCAACCTTCTGTTTGCACTTGCCCTTCCATACCATTAGGTGACCACTATAAATCCTTGCCTAACTACAGCTTACATTTCTCCACCCACTTTCCTTGCACCTATATGAGGCAATGGGACTAGTTTTCAGTGGGACAATATAAACTGACAGAATGCCAGTCACTTCCGGTCCAAGAGAGTTAAGAATTGAGTGTGTTTTCATCAACCTCTTTGTTGTTGTTGTCGTTGTGGGGTTTTGTTTTGTTTTGTTTTGTTTTTGCAAATTGCCAGCTGAATACAGAAGATCCCTGGTCCCTGGAAGATGCAACAAGGGAACAGCCTGGCTCTCTGAAATACCATATGGAGAAAAGCAGCACGGTCACCAGAAACATCTACATTACGTTACTATGTGTTCAGAAATAAACTTCTATCACTTAGATCTTGGGGGCTATATTTGTTACAGTTTGATGTTATTCTAATCAACATAGATTTTATCTCTTTGAAACCCACAGGGACAACACACATATCCCAGATGGTTTGGGGAGATAATCTGCAGGAACTGCACAAATATAGGACCCCCAAAATGCTGTTCTTTCAGCATTATGTGAGCTAGTAATATACTCTTCCATGTCAATACAAGGGAAGTTGATGATCTCAAAATACAATACTGAGTAGGAGTAAGGAGAACTTATTTTTCCCTTAGAATTCACTACCACAAGCATGCTCATCCACTGGTTTCCAGTCTGTTCATATCGAGCAGTAGGAAAAACAGCAAGCTAAGAATTTACTTTTTAAACAATATTAATTTTATTGGTACATTTTAGGTGTACATTGTGATCACATTCATCATTGGGAATTTGTTCCTGTACATGATGTATCTTAGTTCTGGTTTTCTTCCATTCCCCTTCACTCGCTTCTACCCCTATTTACAAAAGCTTTGTTTCTGTTTTTTCCTCTTTTCTCATATTTTTTTTCTTTCCCTTCTTTCCTTTCCCCTACCCCGCTACTTCTCCTTCCCCTTTGAACCTTTACTTCTGATTTCACATCATCTATTTTACATTTTGGTTCTCATTTACACTTTCAGTTTCTCACACCAGAGAGAAAATTCAGTATTTTCATAGGACATAAGTGTCCTATTTATTTCACTTAAGGGTATGGCCTCAACGTGCATTCATTTAGCTATAAATGTCTCTAGTCTATCACTCTTTATGGCTGGGTGGTACTCCATTTTATAAACAAAACACACATCTTCTTTATCCAGTCACCAGTTGACAGGCATTTGGGTTGTTTCTAAGATTTAGCTATTACAAACTGTGCCACTATAAACATGAGTGCACATATATCACTGTGGTATGATGCTTTTAACTCTTTTGGGAAAACACCCAACAGGAGAATAGCTGGGTCAAATGGGACTTCTAATATTATAAAACAAAGCTACTATGATAAAAACAGCATGGTTCTGGCAAAGACACAGACCAGAGGATCAGTGGAATAGATTAGAAGATGCAGAAACAACTGCAGACACACTCAGCCACTCTCATTTTTGACAAAGAAGCCAAACACCCTCACTGGAAAAAAGACAGCCTCTTTAATAAATGGTGCTGGAAGAGCTGGGTTTGAACTTGCCAAAGATTATCTCTCACCATACACTAAACTAAATTCAAAATAGATTAAAGATCTAAATATTAAAACAGAAACATTAAACCTACTGGAAAATTGTTTAGGTAGAATCTTGAAGACATTGGCATAGGAAAAGATATCATCAACAAAACTTCATTCACATGTGAATTAGCATAAAGAATCAGCAGTGGGATCTTTTCTCATTAAAAAACTTCTGAGAAGCCACCAACAGCATAAAGAGACAACACACAGTGTGGGAAAAAATGTTTACAAGCTGTTCCTCAGACAAAGGTCTACTATCTAGAATATACAAAGAACTTTAAAAAGTCAGACCCCCCCAAATTTAAAGACCTGATTCAAAAATGGGCATCTGAAATGAATAGACATTTCTCAAATGAAGAAGTAGAAACAACAAATAAACGTATGAAAAACTGTTCAATATCACTGGTCATTTGAGAGATGCAGATGATAACAATGCTGAGATTCCACCTCACCCCAGAAAGAATGGCTGCTATCAAAAAATTAACCAATAACAGATTCTGGGGGTTGTGGTGAGAAAGGAAACCTCTTCCACTTTTGGTGGGAGAATAGACTGGTGCAACCACTGTGGAAATCAGTGTAGAGTTTCCTCAAGAATTTACCCTAAATGGTTTCCAGTTGCTGGTACTCCCAGAAACAAATGCAAATTCTCTCTGGAGTGAATTTTTTTCATTCCAAAAAAAGAACTCAGAGTCAAAAAAATAACAAAACACCATGTGAAAGAGACAACAACAAAAACAGAGCTTAGTAAGAGGTATAGTTTCTGAATTAACAGATTCAGAACAAAAAAACCATCATATCTAATATTACATTGAAACCCTCCCCTTTTGTTCCTGTATGTCTTCATATGTGCATGCAAAAAATTCAAGGCCCTGAATGAACTTTATCCATACAAATTTCACACATATTTGGGAAGTCGTTTAAGAATTCCAAAAGGTTAAATAAAAAGAAACTCACACCCCAAAACAGAAGAATGAATAAATGCAGTTTTTCAGAATAGCAAAAACATAGAGAAGACCTAAGTATTCAGGGAGAAAAGATATCACATTCAAAGCAATGAAAATTATACTAATGTCCCCCTCCAGTGCAATGGAAATTAGAGGAAAATGGAATTATTTCAATGTACTAAAAGAAAATCACCATAATTCTGTACCCATCTAAACTATAATTCTAAGAGGGTACCCAAAATAAAGACTCTTGAGAGAGAGGATTTGGTTATTGTTAGACCTCAGAAAAGTAAATACTAAAAGAAAAACAATCTCAGATGGACCTGCGACACAAAAAGGAAAATTGGTGAACAAAGAATAAGATTCTACTTTAGATCAACTAGATTGGAAAAATTCAATCTAACAATTCTAAGAGTGATGTAAAATAGGGAAAATTTTTATACTACATTGTTAGAAGAATAAATCAGCATCATAACTTTAAAAAACAAATTGACAATAACTTGTTAAATAAAACTTGCATGTATCCAACTCAAAAATTCAGCTAATGAGTATTCACATGGAAAAACTTTTACATACAGGAATTTATAAGCATGTTCAAAACAGTGTAACCTTCCTAAGTCTCCTCCTGCCTTTATAATCATGATTACTATCAGAAATCATAATCATCACATTATCTCTGTGTTAAGGTTATTCTGCTGTTATATACATCGGAAAATAAAACTGCAAACTGAGGACCAGAACACCTAGGCAGCCATCCAAACTAATGAGTGTCACCCAGGAAGATCCATCAGAAAGTGGCTGTTGGTCTTTCTGGCACCATTTACTAAATGTTATGCTTTTTCTTTATTGTATATCTATGCCACCTTGTCTTAAGGCTCTTGTTTTTCTAACCCTCTGAGGTTCAATTCAGGTTCAGAGCAGATAAGATGGACAATCCCAACCTCAAGATTTTCCCACACTCAGAATGACAGCTCCATTCTCTTGTCCAATCTCCCCCCTGTAGCTCTTCATTCAGTTATGTCTATAGGGAAATAGTTCTTCAATCCTTACCTTTATTTCTGAATTTACTCCAAACACATAACAATAAAAGGCAAGAATATGAAGAATTTCTCTCTCTCTCAAGCACAGAGCTACTAGTATTTGATATAATTCAAACAAAGCTTCAGTAATCTACTAGAAAGAGAAGAGTCTCAGAAGAGCATCCTTGAGAGAGAAGGAAGGAAGAAGAATGCTCTCAGCTATGCCACTGGTGAGGCTAAAGAGTAGATTACATGCCTATGAGCCTCAGATCTTTTCTTTTTCTTTGAGACAGGGTCTCTCTATGTATACAGTTCAGGGTGGCCTTGAACTCACTGTGCAGCCCAGACTGGCCTCAAACTCTTGGCAGTCCTTCTGAGTCAGTCTCTTTGGTGCTGGGATTACAGCTATGTGATTCCATGCCCAGCTCAGATCATCATTTTCTAAGTCCAGCCTGATGTGGTACCTCCTTTGTCTGAATCACTGTGTTTTCATCGATGTCCAAGGGACACACCTCTGACTCTTGCTCTCCTGTCATGGCTGTGCATATAGCTCATGAATAAAGACCTGCAGGCTCGCCCCTGGTGCAGATTACATTAAAAATTATAGTCTCAGGTGTGAGCAAATTCATCCTTGTACCAACCGTATCACTTAGAATCGTCTTACCTCCTCCGTCTTAAAAACTTCCCATATTCGAGCATGATCTTCCACCACCCAGTGTCCTGTGCTTTCTACCTTGGTGGAAAGTTTGAGTTTAGGCACCTCTTGAGTAGGCTCTTCCACAAGCTTCCCCTCCATCTTGAAAGAGGCAGGCAGGAGGCATTACGGATCTGTATAGAAGAATAAAGTGTGGTCCAGGTTAAAACCTTACCGTAAAAAGAGACATGATAGCAAGTGATTGTGCTCAGCTTTTGAATAATGACACCACAGAAGACCATATCACAATGGGCATCAACTCTTATGCCTACTTTTTATATTTTAAATATTAATTACTGGTATTTCAGTGCAGACTTCTGGAAGTAAAAGGGCACATCTTGATGCCAAAGTAATATAAATTTTAAAGCAAAGCAAAAGTATCATCTGACTATTGCATCTGTTCACCATTTTGCTCTGCCCTCCTCAGGATGAGAGATGGACTCTGGAGGATGTAAGAAAAGTCTGAGTGATCTTGTCGTATGTCCACACTGTGTGGTACAGTCAGAAGAAACACTGGCAATAGCGTCGGAAGGTTTCAAACATCTCCTATGCACTCAGGCTCCACATGAGGCAGACAATGATAATTCAGTAGTTTGCTTCCTATTATCTAAGAAGCACAGAGTCTCTGGGCAGAAAGGCGGTAAACAAGTACTAACAGCATGACACACTCAGTGTGTGAAATCCCACGGTAATCATGTTTCCAGACTGAGGAAGAGGGTTGAGGGCAGGGCTCCAAGACAGTGCACTTGTCTATATTCACGAGGCCCTGGTTCAATCCTCATCACCAGGGGGGAAAAAACTGCAAAGAAGATTCCTTTTGACATGTATAAGCCATGCTGCTTTCTGGGCCTTCAGTTCAACAGTAGTCGCCACAGGACAACACTCAAAACTGATACTCATGCTTTGTTGGCATCTTTCCACGAGTCACCAAAGATGGTTTGCTCAGAATCTCATCCTCTCCTGCATGGTTCAGTGCCACAGTGTGAAGGTGTCTCCTTGCCTCCATCTGAGTCACCACGAACCTATCCTTCTCAGGTTAAGTTTTGTAAAAAGCAAGTCTGTTAATGATGTTCTGCCTGCCTGAAACGTTCTCTTGAGACTAAAATCTAAGTTTCTTCACCTGGAATAGAAGCCCTTTGAGTCTGACTTCTTCCACCTCCCTCCATCCATTTCATGTACGCACTGGTCCTCCTCGGCCACTCTGCTTCAGCCTTTCCAAAGGACTTATACATCCCCAGTACATCCAGCACCTTTACTCCTTGTGATCCATCCTCCCTGAGGATCCATCCTCCACAAGAGAATAAAGGTCTATGTACATCGAACAGACTTCCATCTGTCAACTATAATGCTTTATTTGCTTTCAATCTCATTTCCACCTTCTAGTCTTATAAGCACCTTGAGATTAAAAATGGGGTCATATACAGAGTAAGTACTAAATAAATGTTTCATGAACACATTAATTCAATCAATTCATCAATTGGGAGAATACAATGAAAAAAGCAGAATCTAATACAGTCAAATAGCAATTATAAAAGTCAAGTTATACCTTCCTTTTAACTTTATTAGCACAGTGGGCTAAGTTCTTCAGAAGAAAGAGACTAATCATTCATCACGTTCCACCAAGCAGCCAATATTTCAAGACAGAATTGCTCGTTAGCTTACAACAGAACCGTTCTCATGGAAATGTCTTTGGGGAATTGAGCATGTTTGCAAAAAGTAGGCATTATGCTCACATAACCCACAGCCCAAATAAAAAAACTGGAAAGTGAAATCAACACAAGGCAGGGGTGAGAGGTCAGGGGATCTGAGACAACTGTCTTGTGCAGGGGAGCTGGCACCTCATGTGCTCCATCTGCAAGCCACGGCGAGCAGGCCGTCTGCTTTCACAGAACACCAGTGAGGAAACTGATAAGCGAAGCTCTCGTGAAGGACTCAGAAACACAGAGCACTTAATGTGCCCCCGTTAGCCATCAGGAAGCAGAACCCACATGATTAACGATCAAAGTTCTTCTGAGTGGACACACTAATAAATGATGCTGACACGAACATGCAAGGAACTAAATAAAGCAGAGTCATGTGGAAGTTTCTAGCCAAAAAGAAAAGGAAATTTAAAATAAACAGGCAAGATGGAAACAGGCCAGATTAGTAGGGAAGGAAATTCCATTGTTGTTACTGGAGATAAAACTATAAACAATAAATAATAAATCAAAACAGAGTGGGAAAACTACATAACATGGTTTGGGATGTATCCTTAATATATCATAGAAACGCAACTGGATAAAGTGACAAATTACAAAAACTCAACACAAACAATGGAACATCTGTAACCCTAATGTATCCCAGCAACCCCACAGCTCTTCCTCTACTGTCTGCCCACAGCTGTTCTCTCATCTCTGCACTGTGGGTGAAAGCTGGCAATTTTTCAGTGCCGGAGATTGACCTCTACTGCACACTGACTTCACACAGACTGCTCCTTGCCCTGTTTGGGAAGAAGACTTGAAATTGCAGACAGTTCCAAAGCATCTAGAAAACCAGAGATATATCAAGAGGCAGCCAGCTCTTGCAAGGCCCTTCAAGCATTTTGAATTCCTCCACCCCATGGACACTTGAAGCTTTCTTGGTCATCTTCAGTACATCTTCTTACTCTAAAAAAAATGACCTTATATACACTATATGTTGGGCTTCCAGTATGCTAGGCATTGTCTACATGATCTCTATCCTGCAAAATAACCCTACAAGGTAGATACCACTATTTAACAATAATAGGAGAATAAGATTCAGGGAGGTGAAGTAAGCTTACTATACACTGTTAGAAATTTGTAGAATTTCCAGGTTCATTCTCTCTCTCCTAGGTCAGCTGAGAAAGCTTTCGGCTCCACCCACTTCCCCATCCTGGTGGAATGATGTCCCTTCCCAGGCCCTAGAGTTAGCGGCAGCATCTCCACTAACTGACACAACAGCTCCCCCTTGAGAGATGGTCACTCTTGATGAGCACAACGTTAAGGGTGGGCTAGAGACAAGGGAAGGACCTTTGTCCTGCCATTTCAACTTCTGCTCCTGGCAGGCTTTATGGGTGTGTGAGGTGTACGGTCACCCAGCGCCCTGTGCTCAGAAGGGCCCCATGCTTGGTTGAATGCTCTGCTGTCTTTGTCTCAAACTTTTTATATTTTGCAAATGGGACCCTGCAGTTCTGTTTTGCAGTAGGTCCCACAAATTACACAGCCCGTCCTGCTGTGACTTGTCTTTTTCTCCTCCAGTCTGAAGTTCCCCTTCATATTTTTAACAAATCATGCATTATAAGTTTACTACCAATTCTCTTTTTAAAAGAGTGCAAAGTCTATACGGTAGAGACTTTTTTGCTAAAACAGGAGGCAATATAGACCTTCATTTACCTCTGAGGTACTATGTCTTAGAATTGAACTACTGCTTTATTTTTTAAAGCACATGGACAAGGCTTACAAGGTAACTGCAACGAAAATGCCACTAACATGAGCCCACTTGACATTACCATCAGACAATATGAAATCACGGTCACCTGAAAGACAGAATCTTTTTTCAGGGTAAGAATGAGACTAAAAGTTCTTTTGCAATTAATTTTTAAAAAATGAATCCTAAATGAATCCGAATCCTAATCCTACCTGATACCCAAAACAATGATTTTTATAAAGTGCTGAATACTCAGATCAGCCTTAAAATAGAAGCTGGGTAGGAAAAGGAATTTGGATGTATATACAAGCAACTATCTGATAAAAACAAAAAACAAAAAACACAGAAACAAATTTTTTTTTCTCAAAAATTAAGACATAAAATTGCTTGAGATGGGCCAGGGATTTAGCTCAGTGGTGCCACTGCCTGCCTCACAAGCACAAGGTCCTGAGTTTGATTCCTGGAACCCCCCAAAATTGCTTGATAACTTTTTTCTGATTAAAAATAATTGTGGCAGTGCACTGTGTCTTCTGCATGAAGCTGAGAAGGAAAACTAAAACCAGAAAGATGAGTCTGATGGAATGAAAGAAAGATGCTCTCCTTTGACACAGAGAAATGATCTGCAGATGAGAAAAACCACAAGACAGTCTCTGAAGTCACTCTGTCTTCAAATCTGAGAGCCCTAACATCTACACCAGAGATGAGGGGGTTTTATTAGTAGCTTAGAGTTAAGTTACATCAAAAGATCAGTCTAATGAAACTGCATAGATTAAAGAAATTAATAGCAATTCAAAACTGGTAAAAAGAGGATGATGAAAAGATAAGAAAATATGTATTTCCTTAAATAAAGGTACTTATTTGAAATTTGTGTTCTTAATATTTATAGTCTTTTCAAAATATTCACTAACAGTATGCCTGTGATGTACTATAAATTATCTATAACACATACTTTTAATCTATTCTATTCTTTCAAAATTAATCACTGATTGGAGCTTGTTGTATTTTCCATGATAATACCAAAGGACCTACTTGATGGTTTTTATCCCGTTTTAAATAGTCATCAAGCACCAAAAAGTAAATGAGGTAACTTCTCAGAGGTTAAAAGCGTTGTGTTGAGTGGCAATCTAAGAACATAAAAATTTGCCATTTTTAGTGTCTGTTCTTGCCATTTGGTAAAAGATTATCCACAAGTCTCATGGATAAAATTTTTGAAACATGGCTTTGAAATAAATTTTAGGCCACAGCTTCACTGAGGTCTGTATTTATTTTATTAACCTCATGCTGGACTTTAATAAATCAATCTGTACTTTACTGAATTTGACTTTCTTTCCTATGATAATAAATAGTACATGAGATATCCCTCATAAATTATTATCTTTTTTTTCTCCTCCCTCTCATCTTTAAATATTTTGGAAATGAAAAAAAAGTGTTTAGCATTCAGAACTTTCCTGGAATGGTTTAGTGTTTCTTGTGTTTATGTGCCCTTTATGCACATAAATGTTTTACTTCTACCTGGAGAGATATTTTTATTTTTCAAATTCAATTCAGACTTCTCATATGAAAAGCGTCTGGCATTTGACCTATTTCAGTCCCTTTCCATGATTATTCGATTCTTTTCTGCCATTTCTTTTCTCCTACCTTCTCTCCTCCTCACTCTTCTCCCTAACAAGCTGAGGTCCTGCCCGGACAAGACAGGCTTGTTTATTTC